TCAGCGATCACTGAACATACTCAGTGATGATCGCTGGAACTGAAAATACAGAAACACAAATACGACGTGAAGGAAAAAAAAAGGATTATCATTAAATCACTAAGAGAGAGGATCAACAGAAGATCTCCAAAAAAAATCAATTTTACGTATCTATTTGACATGAAATTTTTCTCAAATCCTCTAATATACTCCTAAGAAGTATAATTCTAAAATTTCAAACCCAAAGTCCCATTAAATCATAGGTTCTCTTACCGGTCCGAGAGTCTTATTCAATTGTACTCCTGATCGAAACTTGTTCACTTGAACATGAAACTGGTTCATTTGTCATTTCTTTAGCTTAAATCTCATCAGAATTTACAGTCATGCATCTTAAAAAATCATGACCCTGTGTTATGAAACAATTTCATAATTTCACCATGTATGAAACCGTTTTCATGAACATTTTTTTATTTTAATACTGATTTCATGGATTCATTGCTCCAATACCTTACGATTTTCCTGATTCTTGACATGATTCAATCGACACACTATATAACAAAATCAAATTTTTTATATTATAATTGTATTAAATATTTAAATGCTACCATTTATAAAATTTCATTTATTATGTTACCTTAATTAAGAATTATTAATAACTTCCATATTTAATAGAAAACAATGCAAATGACCAAAAATACCCTTAATGATTAAATTTAATTAGAAAAAAATAGAATTTTCCTATTGGTCGAAATTAGTTTACACGGTTTTTAAGAATTGAATGGTTTTCATTTGAATGTGCCCCTCTCTCTCTATATATACATATACATACACACACACACACACACATATATATATATATATATATATAAATGTAAATCCAATACATACAAATATGTTCTACGCATCTATATCGCGGGCCAATTTTCCTGCACACTATTTCGTCATATACATTATCATATGTAGATTGTCTGTTTCAATTGTTTTTTCTATTAAGCTTAGGTGTCTGAATCAACTTTTGTACACCTTGACTAATCCCTGGGACCTGGAGAACAGTCAGGAGAATACCCAGTGACCTTCTAGGACTCGAACAGGTTCTCTTTAAGGAGAATCCCCAAAGGGCTAAGCTTTATTGCTAGTTGAGATAAACCACCACGTTGGCTCTTGCAAAATTGTAGCTTTCATTTGAATCTATCCATCCAAACTGTTAGATTGAGATAATCTGAAAAATACCCTCTATTTATAACCAAAATTAAAACAAAATGAATTACAAGAAAATTAAGTACAATCAATTTATCTTTAACTTGACATCCATTCTGATATATTTTTTTATCTGGCTTTTCATGGCTCTTCGGTTTTACGAAAACGCAAAAACACTCATATTACATGTGATATCATAGGCAACCACATATATTATACTACATTAGAAAGGCAAACGACTTCGGCCATGACCTAGGTCGCGAGTCAATTGTGCGCACATCCCTTGTTTCCTCCTGTCTAGTGTCAATGTGATCATCTATAATATCATATGTGTATCACATGTGAGGGCATATAATATCACATGTTTTTATGTTTTTGTAAAAAAAAATAGTGTTTTCGTTTGAACATTAACACCACCTATGTTGCAGGGTTGGGTTCCGATGAGAAAAGAAGCTATACGGTGAAAAACACAAGAAGAGCTCTTCATCATTGGATCAATCCTAATTGAACATCGACACTAATAAGGTGTACTGAGATGCATTGGATCAATTCCCTTCTAAAACTTCTCACCATAACTTCCCTTCTCACACAATCTTTCACCTGTATGTGTGGGTATATATATATACATATGTACAGACACACTTCACATACAAAAGATTGTGGGTGAATAGGACTCAATGTGATAATTGTAAGAAGAGATTTAGACACATGATCATTTTTAATTCCAAAACAACCTATGAATTACGTTTTAACAAGGAATTGATTTAGTATATCTTATTAATACTGATTTAGTGTTTTTTCTTCAATTAGGATTGATTTAAACGTAAAAATCCTTTCTTACCTTTTTCATCATAACTTTCGTTCCAATCGAAATCGAAACAAAACCCATAAAGGTTGAAAAGATCCATTCTTACTCTCTCATATAACACCATATATATATATATATATATATATGTGTGTGTGTTGGTTCAAATAGAAACCAACCATATGGTACAAACTATGGAAGCCGATCTTGACCAATCACATTCTTTCTTCACTTTAGGTTCAAATCTAAATTATAAATTAATGATAAGGGTAATTTGGTAATTCAACCTTTTTGTAACTCCCAATAA